GTGTCACCAGGGGCACTGCTGTCCCTGAGTCCACACCAGTTCAGAGCAGAGGGGGACTGATGCTGTCCCCAGGAGGAGAACAGCTCCAGCCTCAAGCTCCTCTTGCCTCTGCCCGGCACTCAGACAGCAGTTGCCAGTCCTGGAGACCCGCCAGCACAGCCCGGCCTAGTGCCAGCAGGGTGGGCACTACATTGCTGCCTGGCATGGCCCCAGGGCCCCCAGCCGGCAACCCTGCCCCTGCCTAACCCCTGTCTCCCTGCTCCCGGCAGTGCCAGAGATGCCCCCTGCCCCCCAGCCGTGTCGACCTCTGTCCAGACTTGTAGCAACCCCCAGGGGCCCCGGTGCCCGGGGCATCTGAGTACCAGGGCGGGGGGTAGCAGGCAACGGAGCGGGGGCTGTAATGTGCTGCAGGAGGGGTGATGATCAGGCAGGAAGGCTGCCGCCGCTGCCTTCCCCGCGGGCAGCCCGGGCCGGGCACCTCCGTGTGAATATATGGGGAAATACCATGCCCGGCAGGCGGGTTTCCTCCTAGCGGCAAGCAGCTCTTTCTGGGCGGGGTAGTACCCTGACCTGGGTAATGCAGAGTTAGCCTCCTGCCTTCACTTCCAGCCGGGCACCTCCGTGTGAATATATGGGGAAATACCATGCCCGGCAGGCGGGTTTCCTCCTAGCGGCAAGCAGCTCTTTCTGGGCGGGGTAGTACCCTGACCTGGGTAATGCAGAGTTAGCCTCCTGCCTTCACTTCCAGCGGGAAGATCTTGGCTACACTGGACTTCATGGAAAAGGGAGACTCGTTCTTAGCATGGTCCTGTGGCCGTAGGGCTGAGGGCAAGCGAAACTCAGGGGCACCCAAACCCCGAGCCCTCGGGCTTGGGCCTGCAGGTGGGATGCCCGCCAGAGGATTTGGAAATATCTGAAGCCCGAGGTGGGGGTGGAGGATGTTTGCAGGTCGGAGGGCTACATATGGTTCTTCAAAGACTCACAGATTTGGAAGTGATCTGGGTGATTGGACTTATGACATATTTTCCTGGCAGACCCATAGGGCTCGGTCTTTAGCCTTGGAGCAGCCTGGTGTTTTGTAGTAGGACTGGAGTTTGCTCAAAGCCTTGACAGTCTCCTGATGGGGCTGCCTCAGAGCCAGGGGCACTGCCTAGTCCTCCTGGAAGTAGTGGGGCTCAGCATGGGTCCCAGCCTCCCAAGGGCACTGTTCAGGCATGTCTTGTCTCCCCCTCCCCCTGCCCATGCCAAGCCCAGATGATTTGTGTTACTGCAGTCTGGATGGTCCAGGCCCAGCTGTTCCCTAGTGTCCCACTGGCTCAGTGCAGAGATTTCAGAGCTGCGTGATAGCTGTCTGGACCCAAAAAGTGCTTGTCCAGACACCAGGTCCCAATAGCTCC